CTCCCCACGCCCCTCTGAGAGAGATTTGGTTAAAAAGAACACAATGGAGCTCTAGGAGGAGATTCAGGTGATAAGGTGGGGGGGGTATAAAAGACATGAAAAAGTGGATTTTGCATAATAGGTGATCTTTAAATTATTTGACTTATTGACAACTGTGCGCTGTAATGTCACCTGTGTGGCCTGTCCCTGCTGCTGAAGCTGCTGGAACTGCTGCGCGGTGACGAAGCTGACCGGTTTGTTCCCTGCGATCAGCTTGGTGCCTGCAGGCATGGTGGTGAGGATGATGTTCCTGCCCAGACTGCTCAGACTGCAAAAAGGAGAGGGGGGAGGGGCAAAAACATTTCAATCCACCTGCCAAACTTACAGATGACAAGGAGGATCAAGTGAGACAAAATGATTGTTTTATTGATAAATAAATATAATAAAGAGGCTTCAAAACTACAATACAAAATATACATACATTAGAAAGAAAGATGACGATTCCAAATGAAGGTTAAACGTCAAAGGATTGGATTTAACAGTACATGAAAATAAAAAGATATAGTGGAAATTCGCAAAATAATACCTTACTTACCGATCATTTTACTTTTTAGATTTCATTTAATCTTTTAGCGATTTATTAAAATAGATAATTACCAATAATTTTGTCTTGAAAAGGTTCAAACAAAAGAAAATGTTCTCAAACCTTTTTTTAAATAAATGCAGATAATGAGACTTACCTAGCGTTTAGACTTCCTTTCACCATCGGTGTGGTCACAACACTCTTGCTCTTCAGTGGTTGGCTCAGCACAGAGATGGGTACAGTTATCCGTGTTGGTAACTTCCCCTAAAGGGTTGTCAAAAAAAAAACATTATTCCCCAGTCATGTGACTTAAAGATGATTAACTAGACTTTGTGGGTTCCACATGAATGAATTCCCATTGTCTCTGAGAAAACTATTCAAATCAATAAATCACAACCTCAAGCAGGCCAACTCTAATGAAACAAAGCATTGTCTATGTTTTTAGGATTTCACTATAACATAGCTATCAAAAAAAAGGATTTTCATTCATTGTTTTGTCCTAAGAGAGCCTCGATCTTTTTCTTTGAAATCAACTATTCAGAGATGCATTTGTGTTCATCCAGCAGCATCTCAAATGCTGAACACATTTCCTTGCTGTTTCTTGTTGGGAAACTGGGATGCATGTGAGGAGGAAGAAGGAATAGCAGATTTGTGCTTAGCCGTGTCCATCTGTTATTTCATATTTCACTCAGACATATCCGCGTTGTTTGGCATGGGCAAACGTGCATAGGCGGCGCGTGAGGCTCAGGTTTGGGAAGGCTAAATAACTTTTTTTACCTGACGCTGCCCGCCTCCGGCGTGTATAGAAAAGAGATCAACTCAGTGACCAATCAGAGCTCAGTGTGCGGAGTTTAAATCTATCAGGTCATATTACAGGATAAAGGAAATACAGTTTAAACTGCCGTATGCAGAGAAGACGCAGAAGTGTGACACTTATCATTCATATCACATCATCAATCAGATCATCGATCTAATAATATGTCATATGATATTTCCTTATCTGAGTCAGCTTCTCGAGCCGTATCTGACCGTGCAACACTTACATTGTCACATACTGTATGCCGATGTATTATTTTAAGCAACACATTAAGTTGACGAAACACTCAACTCAAATGTAATTAAAGTCAGATCCACTCGTGTCTTAGATGGGGCAGTAATATCATAAACCTGATGTACGCTTTCAAAGACTCTGTAGTTTATTTATTTTTTAACCAGTTGTTCTATATTCACCTTGCAGGTGCAACTATGTGGCTTGTATCCTGGATTATATGTTTAAGTCATGGATGGTTAAAGCTCATATTTTTCTAATATTAGTTTACTTTTCATTAATGAAGTATGACGCTGCGCTGTCAGTAGGCTTCACTTGTCCCTGTTTGTGATTGGTCAAATGTTGCTAACCCCGCCCCTTTCACGTGAACCCGCTCTCAGCTGGAGAGAGAAACCCTGGCTTGATTTACCGAGTTGATAACCAGCGTCGTAGGACCGCTTAGCGAGAGCGCGTTTGTTAGGGTTAGTTAAGATAACTCAAACATATCCAGGGTCTTTTGAACTGACTTCGTACAGGGCACAGGTGGCTGCATAGCAGCGCTAATGTCAAAGACACAAACATTATACATTATATTTTTATCTTACCAGGATGCAGTGACAAAAATATTTGGGAAGGCTTAGCCTTCCCTAGCCTACAATACCCGCCGCCCCTGCCCTGAGGCATGTTCACGCTCAAACTCGCAGAGGTGTTTGCAGTGCTATTCACATATATATATTACGACTGTGTGTAGGCACAACTGGGACAGAGGAAAAACCGCGCTGCCTGCTACCCGAAAGGATAGAAGTAGCCGATTTAAATGTCAAGCCCTGCTGTCTATTAACCGTCTGGTTAAATACCGCTGGCTTATACAGCGAGCCTTGCTGCTTGCTAACCGACAGATTAGAAACAGCCGACTCAAACGGCGAGACATTGCGAACGTATTGGAGTCCCAAGATGAAAATTTCTGTGATTTTATTACCATAAGGCCCCTTACAAAATAAAACAAAAAAGCGCGCCACCTCTAAATATGGCCCGAAGGAGCAAAGTCCCATGTGTATTGTTGCCTTGGTATCCGTTGCCTTGACCTGTCCGTTTGTGTGGAAGACTTTAGTCTGAGGCTTACGCGACACGTGACCGGTAGGTGAGTCAACCCAGGCTAGTCTTTGCGACTGAGAATGTTGAGAAAATGCAGTGTTTGTTTCTACCACAACATACCGTTCAATCCCTAGTTCATTTTGCTTTTCGGGTTCAGGTGGTCGTTAAGTTGCCCACCTCTGGATAGCGGTAGGAAAATTTTGAGATGCGGTGTAAAAGAAACAAAGTTGGCTTTATTCATTTGCTGACATAAACCTCCACGTCAATTCCGTAAATCCCAAACGAGTAATTTTCCAAACAAATTACTTATTCACAAGAGGTTCGAACGGGAAATTCCATAATAATTGGCCAATCCCCAATTAAAACGGAGAGTTTCGACGGGTCCTAAAACCTACGGAAAATTGAAGTTAATAAATTTTTTATAGGAGGGGGTTGTTGAGGACCCGGATTCCGGGGCCTGAGGATGTTTTGGATTTAGGGGTGCCCACACTAACAGTAATAACCTTAATTCTCGATGTCAAATAGGTCAGAGACTAACAACCACCATGCAATAATACCTCTCGCGAGAGTATGAAATTTAAACATATATAATATATTTATATAAACAACACACAGGGGCGTAGAACATTCGGACAATACAGAGTAATATTGCGTGACAGTTAATTAATTTTCATTTATATATTCAGCAGTACTTGTGTAGAACCAGGTTAGTCTGTCCTCGGAGTAGGGTTATGGGGAGCAGCTGAGGAGAGAAGGGGAGGAAAGCCGCTGAACTGGGCTTTAGCTAGTTCTGGTGCGGTAATAACCTTCCTGCAGGTATCGACTTTACGTGTGCTCCTCAGCTCCCTACCCCCACTCCCTCCTCCCCACGCCCTCCTTTTGCTTTTCCCTCCTATGTGTTCTCGTCTGATGCGCCTTCACAAAAGTGATGAGTGCATATTTTCAGGGCGGGGGTGGTAGTCGTCGACCCAGCTAAAAGTTGTCTCTTTTGCTGTTTAACCTTCCAAAACTCACTTTTTCCGCAAGTGTAATTTACATATTCACGAGTGTCGAGGCACCTTAATATACACGTTAAGTAAAGAATTCCAATATGGTTGTTAAATTCAACACAAATTACTAGAACTTGCAGTGATTTTGTATTCGATAATTGTTTCGATAAAGTATTTACCGATCTAGAACTATTTATTGTTAATAAACGTAACAAACACAATTCTATAAGTCCTCAAATTTTAAATTTACCCGTGTCAGGACTTACACCCCAAGCACCACTTACACCCCTAGATGTCCCTGTGTGTAAAAGTCTCAATTTCCGAAAAGTGTAATGATAGTAATAATAAAAATAAAGTTACATCCGATGTAAAAATGTGTTTGCCTTGTGTTTTCGTCAATGGTTGGTAGTATGTAACTTAAAGGAACCTGATTGTCTATTCTAAGTAAGTAAAGATTATTTATAATTGTTTGGTTTACCCCGGCCAAGATTCCCCAATAAGTCAAATCGGGCTACTCTCCCTATGGTACGACACGTGTACAGTAAGTAATTGTGAATGCGAGCCAACTCGTCGTCACCGCAAACATAGGGCAAGCGTCGCGCCTGTAACGCGTTACAGTGTATCAGACTTGCCATGGAAGACAGGAGCGCGTAGAGGGACACAGAAGCGAGCGTAGACGACCCCTCCGCCGTCGATTCAGGCGTTCCTGATCAAACCCGTGCAGGGTGGTACCACCATCAGATACTTTAGACGGCGCCTCAGCTCCGTCCTTCATATTCCCCTACTCCGCATCAACGACCGAAGCCGACGCAGGAGACGTAGTACTTACCTGACGAGAATGTTGTGGTCGTAGGGCGTTGGTCAGAGTCGCCCCCGTAGCGCCCGTCGCCGCTCTAGGTCGTTGCCGCAGTCTTTAGCGGAAGCCGTTCGACGTCCCCGATGGCAGGGTCCAGAGGCGAAGGAGGCGATGTCTCTGTCCTAGACGTCGCAGCTCAGCTTCCACCTTTGCTCTTGGGGGCGAGGAACAGACGAGGAGGCTCCCCTGGAGGCTCCTTCGTCTTGGCTTTCTTCTACTGAGAAACACCCCCCAATTACACCCTTCTCTCTAAAACTTATTTTTACTAAGTTTAAGGTTGTCACACAGACAATCGTTGACACAAGAGTGTACAGGGGTGTGTGATCAGTCCGGCCGACGGTAATTAGATAACCAATTATCCCGTCGTCCTGAACAACGATATAGGGTAGACAAAAAGTTGAACAGCCAATTGTCT